TAAATATTTTTTCGATCGACCGAGCAATATTTTCATATTATATTTCACATCCTGTACCCCGCACACCCTTCCGCGCCTTCGCTACGTCCTCAGATCGTCCAATGACGAACGCACACTGGTTAAAAGATATATCTCACTGTGGGAAGGGCAATCGTGGGATATAATTCATATTTCGGGATGTAATAATATATTATATCTGATATAAATTTTATATCCCATAGTGGAAAGCCAGCTTAAGTCTACGACACAGAACATACTCCCATCTAACCTCCATTAATATTCCTACGTTAGTACTCTTATTAGTTTGTGCATATCCTATCTATCATTTCGGATTATTCAAAGTACTCTGTGCTCCTATCCGTGTATCTCTACTCTATGCTCCTATCGGAGGTCTTCTATAAATTGTTTATAGATAGCCCTAAGCAGACTTATCTGTTTACATAAATTTATTTGTTTTTAATAAGTATGTAATAAAAATAATTATTAATAATATGAAGTTGTTTCTACAACCAAAGATCATTTAGATCACTAAGATATATCGTAATCTAAAACATGAAACCACGTACCTATATATAAGTATAAACAAATACATTTTACTCAAACTAAGTAAGTAGAATTAAATATTTATTATTAAGAAGTTCTTTTCGATAATGTATTTTAAAATCTTTACAAATTATTGACCTGTTTCAGAATTTTTATTCCAGTAAAAATGTATTCTCCTCGGCAAAAAATTTTGTGGTTTGCGTTATGTACAAGAATTTCTGTGATATTACTACAAGTAATATCGAACGCTATAATACCTGATCATGATGCAAATGTTTTTATCAGTCCTGAAGATCCAACACTGCGAAAAACCACAGCTGATATCATTATTGAAAAGTTATTAGGTGGTATGAAAAGATGGGATTCTCAATATTTTATTCACATAGCTCAATATGGATATTCTTATGAAAATTGTTTAGCTTTTTTTCCATTATTTCCTTTGATAGTTAGATATATTGCATATATATTAAGCAGTATTTTAGGATCAATTTTTAACTTTCATAGTTTATTACTGATATCTGCAACAATTACTAATTTACTATTATTTCTAAAGTCTGCTGATATATTGCACAGTTTGAGCCTACGAGTTTTAAAGAATGAATGTAATGCATATAAGTCTGCAATATTATATTGTGTTAACCCTGCAAGCATATTTTTCACTGCTCCATATTCTGAAACATTGTTTGCTTTAATGTCTTTTTATACTATGTATAAATGCACTGAAAGTGAGTCATTGAGATTTGCAAATATTGATATGACTAGTGCACTACCTGCTAGTTTCTCCATGATCACTCGATCAAATGGTATGGTCAACCTGGGTTTCATATTTTATACGAGTTTTAAAAATGTGGTTGAGAGAACTTTGCCTGAAATTGTTTACAAATATAAGACTCTAAAACAAAGGATAATGCTTCCATTCTTATTATTGCCATTGTTTACATGTAGTGTGGCACTGTTTGTAACCATTATTGTAGCTCTGATTCCTTTTATGCTTGTTCAATTATATAACTACTTTAAATTTTGTATTCATAATGAACATAACTTACCAGAGTTTTTAGCCAATTCTGAATATGTCTTACCCGGTTCTGCTGCAAGTCCGTGGTGCAACAACTCAATTCCTCTTTCTTATTCATATATACAAAGCTATTATTGGGATGTTGGGTTTTTTAAATATTATAGATTAAAGCAGATACCAAATTTTGTATTAGCTTCACCAATTTTATTTTTAGTTCTGTATCATAGCTTATATTTTGTTAAAAACAATCTTAGGCTATGTTTAAGACTTGGATTAAAGGACAGCATCTTTAATTATGGGTATTTAAATAGAATGCCTTATCGGCCAAAACAATATTCAAAGGGATTTGGGGCCAATGATCCCAATATGTTTGTGTATGTGATTCATGCAATGTTTCTTAGTATATTTTGTATAACTTTTGTGCATATTCAAGTTTCAACAAGGCTTCTAGCGTCAAGCAGCCCTATCCTTTACTGGGTATGTTCAAGTAGAATAAATGTTGGACCTACACAAACTTCAGACCAGAATGCTATTAATGAACATTTCAGACGTGTCAGTACAGGCAAAAGAATACCAACTCACCATTTATCAATTGCTAACTTGGAAGGAGTGGAAAATATGTATAGTAAGTGGAGAACATTTATAGTATCAAAACAGATGCCTGATTTTCCATCAAGATTTATACAATGTTATTTTATTGGGTATTCGGTGCTAGGGACTGTCCTTTTTTCTAATTTTTATCCTTGGACATGATTTTAAGTTTAACTATATTGTAATCTTACATATCACATTTTCTAATCTTTGACTTTATTCCAGTATTAATTCAAAAATTATATCATACCTAAAATAGGTTTGGTCTGAGGTTTTTGAATTTCACTTAAATGTTTCCATAGAAAATAATGTTGTTAATGTATATAAACTTTCTTAAGCTATTTATTGTATGAATTAAACAGAATAATTCTGACCAACAGTCAATTTTATCAAGTAAGAATGTGATGGTCATTATGTAAGAGAATATATTGCTATCCATCTCATTTCTTGAAAGTTTTAAAAGATGTCTAACGAAAATTGGGCGAAATATATTGTGGTCTCTGATGATGACAGTAAAACTTTTTCATATTATTACCAGATATTCAATAATGTCTTCCAGACCGAATTTCGATGACGGCGCCAATTGTCAATGGAGACTAGCCTTCTGCAAATGACAAATATAGTATGCAAGCATAGGTGCACTTTATTTCCTCATTTTCATAGTCCGATTGGATGGCCATCTGATATGCGCCGGATCCTTCTTCAGATAGACATCAGAGAGAAAGATAACATGCACACTGACCTGATACACAGGACCAACATGTTCTTACAAGGCTCGGGGGTGAAACAGCACCAACCAATTATGCTACTGAAAATTTCTTGATAGGAAAACCCAATAACTGATTTTGGCCAACCTGAGATTTAAAAAGGGACCACACGATCATTAGTCATGCTAACGACGACTAGAACAATCTGCCAGATCCAAAATATCTAGGACACAAAGAAATGACAAGAGTCATGGAATGGCCAATTTACCTGCTAAGCATAGTGAAAAAGGCAAATTCTGCCACATATTTGAGTGAATAGGTGCGTAGGTTGATAAAAAGGGATTACTGGAAAGTAATTTTAAAAACTCTAGGAGTATAAAATGATTTCAAACAGTAAAGAAAATGAAGGCGCTCTTGATTATAGTGTCTTATTAGAGTATATGGTTTATTGATAGTCTCTGGTTTTTAAAGAAGAGACTGTCACCAAGCCACAGTGCCACAGTTTTCACAAAATTTGACATTATGTAGCTATCATATTATATTTTAGTTTACATTTTTTCCACGAGACATCTTTATGCCACAGACCAGTGTAAACCTGAGATTAAAATAAAAACTACTTTTTGTAATACATCAGATAATGGCCATATTATGGACAATAAACACACTTGTTGATGTACCTAAATACTATCATTTACGATTATTATTATGAAAAAGAGTAAGCACATAAATCATATTATAAGGGTAGTACAAGTGTAGTGTGCTTATATTGTAAACCATGGGGGCCTTTATGGATATTAAATTATTGTAAGTATTTAAATATAATTAGCGAATTTTTGAGTGCATATTACATAATGTATTTATATAGCAATAGTCTTTTTTTATATAAATTTGATAATTATTAGTATTGGGTATTTTGTATTTGTAAGCACATTATTAGTTAAATGTAGTACAAGTTGAATGATTTTTCAAGGATAATACGATTGCAAGAAATGAACTTTATTGATGCAATAAGCCTATTAACAGAGTCAGCGAAGTGTTTGTGTGGTAAAATTTGAATTTGGTGACCCTGCAGTACTTCTGTTCTATTATTTATTATACTGTACTTACCTAAAACTGTAAAAAATATGTCTCCATTAGAGAATTATTTAGTGTTATGCCACTGATCTCGGGGATATAAGTTATTTTTAAAACTAAACCAATCTAGTCCTTTTAATGCTTTAGAATATTTATCCTATGTTCTATATTAAAAAATTATCTGTAAGTACTTTAAAAAATTTCTATATAGAGTGACCCGTTTCATAATTTTGTATTGGTATAAAATATGTTACGGCTAAAAGCCGTAGTTTAACAATTGCAATATGACTGCACCTATTGTTGCCGGCTAACTCAGTTAACCGCACTTCGGCCTCAAAATGTCAAGAAAACGCCCGCGATTTGTACGCTAGGCTTATTAGTCTATTTTATCGGATAAACTTGATGATACGCATCTTTGCACTTAATAAATATATAATATATTGCACTATGGAAGAAGCTATGCCACAACAATCCTCTGTAAAATTATTGTTTCCAAGTTTCGGATGGAATACTGCAATAAAAATATTTAATAAATTAAAACAGCAAAACAATAACAAAGAACAATTTAGCACAACCTTTGCCACTAAAAAGAAAATTCTACGTATTTAGTCAATAAAATTGTGGTTGTGAAATTTTATCTACTATAACATTAATATTTTTGTCCAACTAATGCTTGTAGCTAATAGTAATTATTTACTATTGAATAAAATAAAAACTAAGTCGAAAATAGTTTTATTATTAATTCACCCTCTTCTGTTCACTTTAAGATGTACAAAAAACTTACAAATATATCCTGCAAGATTTATACAAAACTTATACGTATGACCTCAAAATTTCTTGGATAAGTTAAGATTACAATGCTAATTTTTTTTAATTGCGTGGGACCACGCCTGAGTAGGAATATTGCTTCACCTTGATTAACATCAATCGACTGGATCATTCACTGTTGAATCCGGTTGCAAACCAAGTAAATCTTCTGTAGAATCTGGTATTTGTGGTTGTTCTGCATTAGGTTCAACCAGTGCGGCGGCGGAGGTCCCTGGAGACCTTTCCCCGTCGCTAGCGTATTCCTATGCGACACTCAATGCTTCTCGTAGCCTCTGTCGAGCGCGTTTCACTCGCTCCTCTTGTCTTCTAACATCATCCTTAGTTATTGTCACGGCTGCAATTAGTGGCTGCTCGGGATTTAAAAAAACACCAGGGTTCTCCATTATTGTCTGTTTGGATCCAGTTTGGCCTTAAAAATCAAGAAATAATTCCATAATGATTAAAGTAGGTATTAGCAACAGATAGTTAATTAAAACTACTTTTACGGATTTTATCGCGTTTTATTTACATTAATTTTAATACCCGACGTTTCGGGTGCTTTCCAGCACCCATGGTCACGGGGGACTGAGGTGACCGACGTCCCGATGTCAAAGTTAACCCGGAGTACCTTCAGCTTTTTAATTATTGTCTTTGGTCCGATCTACGCAGAATGAACTAACTGTATTTTGAAGTCTTGCAGTGGTATGCTTGGGTTTAGTTTTAATTTTATTAATTATAGGATCCCAGTCAGGTACCCAGCCTCCTTCTCTATTGAAATTAGACGCGATAAAATCCGTAAAAGTAGTTTTAATAAATGTATAGTGTTCGCGTAAATATAAGAAATCATAACAGATAGTTATCGAATATGTCCACTACTACTTCTTAAGTTTATTTGTTAGACAGTGCCAGTTATTTTCCACTCTTCAATTCAATTTTCTATATTGTTAACAAAAAAATACCTGTAATAGGCTGCGAAGAAACATGCAGGGCAGTAGCAAGCGACTGAATGGTAGTAGCATCAGATGTAAATGGACCTAAAGGTTTAATATATTTCGGCAGTGTAGTAGTTCCTATAACTCCATTTGCATCACACGCAGTCAAGTTCTAAAACAATATAATTACTGCAATAAAAATTGTATAAATGAAAACTTAAATTAAAATGCGTCTAATAATGTATAATGTACGTAATTTAAAATAAAATTGACTGCTATCAACTGCTTGGTTATTCTGTTTTTCCACCCTAGGATGGATTCTCGAAATCGCGAAGAAAAATAATTTACGAATATTATTTTTCTTTCGATTTTCCCCCTCGGCTGTGTACAGTCGTTTATAAAAACATGATAGAAACTAGTCCAAGATTACATAGTACTTAGCAGACATCAGATTATAATACAAGTAGTTCGCGGAATGGCGGGGTTGGCAAGGGTTACTCATCCGGGAAGGCGCTAGTTGAGTAACTCATTGTTAGTATATATATCAAGTTTCAGCATAAATGAGTAAACAAGCCAATCGCGTCATTAAGTTTCTCACCACTCAAGGAAAGACACTTCAAACTATTTTTTAAGAGATGTCAGCTTTTTATGACTGCTCTTGGTTTCCCAGGATTGAACCATGATTGTAAATGGCACGCCCTTATGGCAAAGGGAGGACACCATTCACAGAAATCTAAATAAGGCAATAGAAGTCGTAAAAGCGCGTGACCTTGTCGCCGCACATGTGACTCGTAGGCCACAAGTGCGCGAGGAGCGTTTGTTTTGGTCACTAGTGTTGTTTCGGACGCAGAGACGAAAAAATTGTGTTTTACAGCATATCGAACTGCGGGTATTCTTCCACAGCTAGTTAATTTTCACATAAAGCGACAACATTTCATAAATAAGTGCTTTGTGTTTTAAATAATGTTTATTTTAATGAAATATACTTAAATAAAATTATTCACCTCCAGTTATAAGATTGTCTCCGAAAATATAATTGTTTTCACATTTCAATATCCATTGATTCTCAAGCTAGTCATATCTACGAGTACGACAGCTAAAAGCAGCGATGGATTTATAGTACGGGCAATAAACAAAATTGTTGCGTACGTAAATTTCCTAGAACACGGCCGCAGGAGTCGAGCGCGAGTCAGTGACGTGACACTACTATTCTGTATCGATAATTTATTATGTTTGGCTTACCTAGTTTTACCAAAACGGGAATGAAATGTGATTTTTCGTGAAATATTTATTTACAACTTTTTTTTCTTCCTAATTTAAATACAATTTTTATAATATATAAATTTTAAATTACTTGATAAATTTTAAATTACTTGATAAAGTTTTAAGCAGTTTAAATATATTTAAGGACAAGTAATTATACTGTAAGGATAGTAGACTAAATTCGATCTATAAGAAGCCGGGTAAATGAAAAATAACAATCAACAGAAAGTCAGTTACATATCTTTAAAACTAATAAAAATGATAAATATGTCACGATTCCTGGACGATCAACGACGATTAATATAGTCCGTTCGCGTTAAGAAAATAGTGAGTCATCGTTGTCCGCCGGCCTGGCCACGCCCCCCAGCCAATTAAAATGCAAGAAATTAGGAAGTCGAGTTCACAGTGACCAGTTGAAGTCAGGCCTTCGAACAAAACGGTTGTGTATTTTGCGTGTTACTCGTTCAACATTAAATTTGGAAAATGAATACCTCACCTATTCAAAAGAGTAAAAGTGGATCAATAATCCATAGCGGAGAGAGACGCGTAATTTACAATGTCTATAAGTACTTTAAACTGTGTGATTTAAATGCGACTGTGGAGAGCACAGTAATAAAAACAGCAAGTGCATGTGGTGTGTCTGAAAATACTGTTTATAAAATTATTAAAGAACAAAGGGATACTAACACATTAAAATCACCCGTGAAAAAAAAAACAAGATAAATGTGCAATAAGGAGAAAAGTTCTATTTAAATAACGACTACCCGACATTGGACAAAATTATGACACTTTGCGAAGCTGACGAAGATATTCCTGTTTTCAAACGTACCACACTTCATAAAATAATGCACGAGCTTGGTTTCGATTTCAATAAACAGGATAGCAGAACATTGTTAGTCGAAAGAGAAGATATAGTTTTATGGAGGCGTAAATATCTGAGGCAAATACTCGTAAAAGAATACAGAGCCGCTAATAAAACCATTTACTATCTTGACGAAACGTGGGTAAACGCCGGACACGTAAAGACAAAAGCATGGTTGGATACAACGGTAAAAAATAAAAGACAAGCCTTTCTAGATGGCTTATCAGCCGGTCCAAAAGCTCCGACAGGAAAAGGTAAAAAGTTAATTGTATTGCACATTGGCAGCGACAAAGGATTCGTGGAAGATGGTCTACTAGTATTTGAATCTAAGTCTACAAAAGACTATCATGAAGAGATGGATGGTGAAAGATTCCTTAATTGGTTCATTAATATAATGCCTAAGCTAGAACCAGGAAGTGTGGTTTTCATGGATAACGCTCCCTATCATTCGGTAAGAGTCGAAAAAATACCAACAACCAGCTCGAACAAGCAGCAAATAATAGATTGGCTGCAAAGCAAAGGCAAATCCATGGGCATGACTTATTTTTAAAAAAGAATTATTAATGAAAGTTGCCGAAATCGCCCCACAATATAATAAATATTTAATAGATGAGACTGCCAAAAGTAATGACATTACAATTCTTCGCCTACCGCCTTACTCCAACTTACTACAAACTTAATCCAATTGAATTGGTTTTGGCCCAAATAGAAAATTATGTTGGTGCCAATAACTCCACGTTCAAAATAAGTGACATAAAAAATTATTAGATGACGCAATAGCATTAATAGACGCTAATCGTTGGAAGAAGTGCTGCAACCACGTGTTACGCGAAGAAAATACCATGTGGAATTTGGATGACATCATGGAACTTGCAGAACAAAATTCTGTCAATAATTAATGTAACTGGAGAATCTAGCGATACTGATTAGTGATTTAAGTAATTTTAAGAAAATTTGTTTCCATTAAACTTAATTAAATGTTTGAAAAAAAAAAGAATTTTTACTCCACTGTGAATACACCTTTACCCTGTAGTTGCACTCCTATTTTCTTAACGCGAACGGACTATAGAAAGTTATCGATACATGCGTTGTTTTTCGCACACTTACCAGTACCCTCCTTCCGTAAAAATCTAAAACAACATAAGTTTGTTCTTGAAAGAGGCAAATGGATAGTTGTCATTCTCCCCCCCCCCCCCCCCCTCCAAACTTAAAAAACTAGAGACTACTTTTCTATAAAGAAGTTTGGCATTATATACTCTATACAAAATTCTCTATCCTGTGGTCTAAACAAAAGTCAGGTTTTACTTCATTACAAAAAGTCTATTGTATTTTGATAACAAAAAACAGATACATACCAAGCGGATGACGGCAGTGTGAAAATCATTATTAAATTATTTACGTAAAAAGATAAATTATATTCATACAAAAACCTTCATACTAATTTTATAATAAAACACTATACTAAAACACTAATAAAACACTAGAAAAATTCAAAAATCAACACAACAAAACAAAATAACATCCACACGAAAATGGCTTACGTAATTAACATAGATTATAAATATATAACCATAGAGTAACTAACTTTTTATTGCACTAGAGGATAGAAATTTTCATATTCAAAATTTCATATGCCAAACTTCTTAATAGAAAAGTACCGAACCGAACCGAACGTATTTATGGTTAAAGTGTTGTGGGTTGGCGCGGCTGCATTCAGTCACTTGGTATTTGACGGAATACCGCCGCAACCGAATTCGGCCGCTTGGTAAGCTAAGAGGTTAAAAACAGTAGAAGGCATTTTTAGTGCCTTATTATTAAAACTTCTGTGATTCCATTGAAGACAACCCCGACCTGGACGGCCGATTGAGGCTACCACGCCAGAAATAATCGAAAAAGTTGAAAAACATGTATCGGAAGATGCGCGGCTAAAGAAAAAACAGTTTGCAGCATTAGTTGGAGTATCAGAAACAACCATTTTAAACATCCTACATCAACACCTTGGCATGACTAAAGTCTGTGCAAGATGGGCTTCGAGAAACACGAAAACACGAGCGCGTCGAAAGTTGTCGCGAGTTTGTGGACCGCTGTCTGTGGAGAGCAACGGGAAGAAGTTATGGCCCGAATCGTAACTGGCGACGAAACTTTGGTTCACCATTATGAACCTGAGTTAAAGCAAGAGTCGATGCAGTGGCATAAAAAAGGCACAACCCTTCCTAAGAAGTATGAGGTGTCTCAATCGGCCGGAAAGATCATGACGACGATCTTTTGGGATACAGAAGGTATCCTTTTGATTGATTATAAGGAATAATGTGGTTCAAGAACGGGAGAATACTACGCTTCTTTACTAGATCAATTAAAAGAAGCTATTAAAGAAAAAAGGCAGGGAAAGCTTACAAAAGGCGTGCAGGCAAGACAAATCTTTTTTAGACAGTATTAGTAACTTATTTACTATTTGACAGATCTAATAAATGTATTAGGGTTAAGGGAGAATACATTAAAAAGGAAAAACAGATTGTTTCACTTCATTATCCTTCCCTGCAATTCCGCGAACTTTTTGACCCCCTCTCGTACATACTTCTTGTTTAAAGATCAAAACTGAAATACTTTTAATTGTTAACATAATTTACATCATTCTAGAGATATCTTATGATGAAAGAAACGTTTTACTGCAATTAACTTCAATTTTATTATATTGAAGTAGGTATATAAATTAAATAAATATATTATTAATTATATAAACACAATATTGGAAATATGTAGTACGGTACTTAACAAATTTTAAAATGTATTTTATTGAACCGGAATCTAGTAACAGTAAAGATAAAATTGTAATTTTGACAAGGTTAAGGGTCGACTAGCTCTATATAATGGTTATTAGTACCACTATAAGAAAACATAATTATATGAATCAAACAGCTTATTGGCGATGTTAAAAAAGGATAGTAAATCACTGCATCGAGACCATTATCGTAAAGATAAAAAGACAAAATTTTCTTAGCTTTCACATTAATCCAGTACCAATCCATGAGAGTCAGTACCACTGGATC